CATATTCTTGATTTCAACTGCCACCTCCCACCCCTTCCCACCATATTGCACACTACTGCTGTTGTTTACTGGATCTTTAGTTGTGATTTAATCATGACCTGCATTTTTATTCTGATACACTTTTTCAGAGATGTGTGTGAAGGAGGAAGTTGATTTAAATAATGATAGAGACGAAATCAACAATGAAGCTAACTCTTCTATTGGGAAGGTAGAGGAGACCTTCCAAATGCTCAACCTGAATGATGAAGAAAAGCCAGAAGTGACAAATGAAGTGAAAAAAGAAGAAAAAATTGTTTTGGTTTCAGAGATGAATGAAGAATACTCATCTAAAGAAGATGAACACAGAAATAAAGAAAAAAGAAAGAAAACGGTAAAATATAAAGATGACCAGGATGATAATGATGCAGTAAGGGTGCTGCCATCAGAATCTAGGACTCCAGACAAGGAAAATGAAGCATCTTATGTAATTAAATACAGTGTGTCAACTACTCCACACTTAGAGAGGTAAGATGATCTATGGTAAATTTGGGACATGAATATGTGGCATGTTTATGCTCTCTCCAGCAACCTCAGGATCTTCATGAAACTTGCAAGCAGTTATCTGGTCTTAGCTGCTTGTACAAAGCGGTGTTACAGCATCCTTGTCTTGGGTGGTGGAGAGCATATAATAGACTGTTCTGTCAATTGGCTAATGGGTAACCTGAGGTGGAAACGGATGATGCACCTGTAACCAGTGTAGATTTACTGCAGACTTTTCCCAGAATTAACTTGCCCTGAACTAGAGGCATTTATACTAGTACAGCTATTAAGAGGCAACATGGGTGGCTTTTTTTCCTGGCCTAACCACCTTTTTTTTTTCTCTGAGTGACTTAACCTAGTCTATCCTTGGACAAAATGAATTTGGAGCATAGTAAGTCTATGGAAGCATGTGTAAAACTGTCGGTTGGGAGAGGAAGCGGAGGAATGCTTTCTTTCCTTTCATTGGGAGGATTGGATTCTGTAAAGCAGGGAACATTGCTTTCTATGTCAGTAGGTTTGGGGACTTTCAATTGGATGGTGCCATGCAGCAGCAGTTTTAACACTGAATGGATGTGTCTACACATTGCCATATGACAACATATGCTACAGCACTGTGCTTTCTTTTGGAAGTTCTATAGTGCAGTGCAAGAACTGCCTATACTGCACCATGCATGCGGCGGACAGTTAGATTTCACCGCTATATTGTCATAGCAGCGTGCTACAATGGGGGAGTGCACTGCTACGGTAATGTAGCTGCTGATCACATGTAGACTCACGTGACTGCTACATCACTCTAGCACGACATAGCGTCACTACAAAAACTTGGGGCAATGTGTAGATGTTCCCAATATGTCTCAAAACACATCTCTGACAATAATGCTTGCTTTTTTTGTGTGTGTTCTGTTTCTTAACACTTAGAGAGAAGAGAAAGATGCAGTGTGCAGCAACTGGCTCTGCGGTTAAAGATCTAAGATTCCTGACTCCTGTGCGGCGTTCTCGACGTCTTCAGGAGATGAGCAAGCTAAATATGTTTAAGGATCATGATCCTATGGTTTCTTCACTTGAACAGCTGAAAGAATTGGGATCCCAAAGCAATGCCTTTATCTTCAGAAAGAACAGTGCACTATAATCTACTCCAGGAATAGTAAAAGTAGCAATAACTTTACAAAGAAGGCACTTGCCCTCTTTAAGAGAAGGTTTGCCTCCTTGCTCATTTGTGTAGCTGATGTAATATGAAACTTGCAAAGCTGGTTTAATTATATCTAAAGGCTGTAGTCAAGCTTTTAAACTAATAATGTGTGTATACTCTCTCAAGCTGTTGTGGTTTAAAAAAAAAAAGTTTGGTCTGTTTTGGTACTGTAAATTATTCAGGTCTTGTTTAAATACAGTATGGAACTACAAATTAAGGAATAGGTTAACATACTCAGTTATCTCCCTTGTTCCTATAATGAATTGTTAAGACTACCCATTGCTTTACATTGGTGAATCCCCATAAGACAAGTGTGTTTCATATTGCATGCAATTTTAGATTATTCAGTTTTTTAAAAAGTGTTCCTGTATAAAGATGAAATATCTAAAAGATGGTCAATAGGAAAGTCAAGTCAACCTCTCTGTTTTGTGTTGGGCTTTTTTGTTTTGTGGTTTTCATCTATGTTGTGACATTCTGTTTTTGCATGGGTTTGTCTCTTTTGGTTTTTAGTATTTGTTTTCAAAGAAAAACACACTTTCTACAAGTGGTACTAATGGAAGCTTTTCTATTTTAAGAAGCTGACATAGCAAGGGACTTTTAATTCCATTGTCTAGGAAACTACTTAAGGCTTCAATGTGTTGTGCTTTGCATGGGGCCCCTATACACTAATTTTCTGTATTTAATGTTTTAATATAGACTTGTATTAATCTGTTCCATGGTCGAGGTTTCTATTAAACTGATCAATTTGAGTTACAGTTGCTTTATTTGTATTATTTATAGGTTAAAGCATGGTAGTTATTAGTAGTTATGACTATCCAATTTCCAAAGTTAGAAATTTGGGAAGAGTGGATTTCTCTTTTTAATAGCTGATTCCAGGAAGTTATCAGTAAATGGGAAATTATCAGCATCTTTCAAGTTCCAGGCAGATTTTGCATTACATCTCTCACTTCATCATAATAGTAATAGAATAATAGAAAACTAGGGCTGGAAGGGACCTCAGGAGATCTAGTCCAGGGGTTGTTAACTGAGGATATGCATACCCTTGGGGATACTTGGGAAGGCCCTAGGGCAGGGGTGGACAATTATTTTGGGCAGAGGGCTGCTTACTGAGTTTTGGTAAGCCATCGAGGGCCACATGACAGGCAGCCAGGGGCACATGAATATTAATTTTCTAAATTTTTTTAGGGGCTTCATGGGCTGGATAGAATGGCCTGGTGGGCTGCATTCAGCCCCTGGGCCACATTTTGCTCACCCCTGCCCTAGGGGGTACACATGGGCAGGTGGGGACATAGTGGTGCCACCCCACCCCACCCCCTCCTGGGGGGGCATGATGGCCAGGGCAGTGGTGCCCTTCTGTGGACCCCACAGGCACCAGCCAGACATGGAGGTGGGAAGGGGAAGTTCTCATGTGGTGGCTGCCACCACCCTATTCTGTTGTTGCTCTGTGTGCAGCTGATGTCTGGCTTGGTCATCTGTACAACTTTTTCATACATTAAAAAATCACAACAAAAATGCATAAAGAAGCAGTGTGAAAAAAAGGAAATCTAAAACTGTTCAGTCCTACTTGTACTCTAATACATCTGCCATAAATTCAAATTTTGTCAGAATATCTGTTGGAAGGCAGAGTAAGTCCTCTTTCCACTCCCACCCTAAACTTTGAGGCAAAAGAACTATCTCTGCTGACATGCTAACATATTTTGTTAGAGATCTGTAAGTATGAAAGCCTTTTGCCAGTATAAGCTGTCTCCAGTAGGCTTGCTGGGATAGGTAAGGCCTAAAAGTGGGGTCTCAAACACTTGAGTTGAGGACAGCTAGCTTTAGTTCAAAAGCTATTTGAAGCTTAGACATAGATTTCATGACTGGAAAGTAAGTCAAGACTTGCTGTTCCTCCACTTCACGAAATTACTGGTTATACCTTTTCAGATTCAAGGTACCCCTAAGAAAATGTCCGTTCTTAAGCTTCCACTCTTTTTCCATAGTCAGTAAATAATAGAGCAATTATTTGCAACAGAAGAACTCCAAGGCTATGTCCACATGAGTGTGGATGTTTGTTTCTGTGGGTACAAGAAGCAGTGGCATACCTTGTGCTGCTGTTACTTTGTCCCAGGGGATCACCTGGGCCATGTGTGCTCTGGTGCACAGCAGGTTACCCTGAGTGAGGTAGGGAAAGCTGGGGCTAGCAACTGTCCTGGCCCCAGCAGCCTGTCCTGGGGGGGGGGGCTAGTGGCCAGGGAAGCTGCAGCCACTGTGCTCCTGCAACTAGCAGGCCAGGCTCCAATTTTGGACAGTGTGTGGCCACTTCTTTTCTGTGCAGATTTGTTTTCAACCTAGGGTCAACCCTCCCCCTCCACCTCCTGCTCTGCAAGATAGCATGGAACACCTGAATGTGCAGTGTGTGGCATTGTAGATGCAGCTGCAGCACCACATACCATATAGGCACACCCATCTGGATGCAGCCCAAGGTTGCAACAGGTCAAAATATTTGTAACGTTTGAAATCCCTGGATTTAACTTGTGAATCATGTTTGCATGTTTAAGTGCTAATGTGTCATTGCCCCCTGTTGTATCCTTCAAAAGATTTCAAGATGCTGCCAGGGGATGCTGTGGTAGCCCGGCTGCGCATCCCTGAAAGATGTGATGGGAGTCTGACAATAACCTTGCTCTGATGAGAATTTCTTGGGAAGCCTCTCGCCTATACCATCCCATCGAAGATGATGTGAATTACCTACAATAAGTTAAGACATACAGAATCTCTGGTCTTGTTGCTTCATATGTTAGATACAAACGAATGCCTGCAATGGCAACAATACCACCATGCACCTCCAGCAGCGAGACTGAGCAAAGGGGTGACTGAACCAGCCCTGTGCGTCCCCGCAGGGCTCTTCTCCTGCGCTGCCTACAGCTGGAAACAGGGGAGACGGTGGGAGTTGCGTTCAGGTCCTTGCCGCCTTCCGCTGGATGCAAGGGGAGGGCCAGGGAGGTAACTCCGCTCCTTGCAGCAGTCCAGGAAGTGGAAAGGAAACTCACATTAATACCTCCCGCAGCTTCCAGGATCTGAAACTCACGATTGCCTTGGGGTCCCCCGGGGAGCTTACAAAATGACGAGGGCGGGAAGAGGTGCCCTCCTGCGCGGCTTCCGCGTGCGGCCTGGGAACGCCAACCGTAGAGACTGCAGTGCCCGCCCGCCCGCCTCGGGGCGGGGTCTGGAGCGGTGTGCGGAAGCTGTGGCTTGGGGTGCGGGTGTGGGGCCTGCTGCCGCGGCACGGGGCTGGCGGGACTGGGGTGTCTGGGCCGCGCTGGTTGCGTCCCGGTCACTGACCTGCCCCTGCCCCTGCCCCTGCCCCCACATCAGATGCGTTTGTAAGCCTTTCCATGCACTTAAAGAAGCAAAACACTTGGTTTTAGTCCTCCAGGCAGTTCAAAGAAGGCTCATCGTTCAACTGAGGCTGAAGAAATATCCAGGTAATAGCAGAAAGCAAGCAGGGATCACTGAGCCACCATCCATTACTGTTTTATTACTAAATGTTTTCACTGCATCACAGGTGTGCACAGTACACAATTATAAGAAGAGGCTTACTGTTTCAATAAAGCTGTAACACAAAGGAGTAACAGCTGCAGCTGCAAAGTGAACAAATACAAATCTTAGGGTTTTAAAACATTTTATTTTACGTTGCAAAACTGTGGCTGAGTCTGAGTCTGATATAATTCCTTCTCTTCCCTCCTTTTCTTTTAAATGAGAATAATACATTATATCTTATAACTTGGGAAGAGACACAGGTCAGTTATGTTTAACCCAGCATTATACACGTGTTGAGGATAAGAACCCAAAAGATTGTCTTCTTCAGCTTGCCTGGTACTATTCAGTTCTGCTCTCATGCTGACTTTATTTTCTCAAAATATGATGAGAATAAATTAAATAGCTCCTTCAGTGCCTCTTACTGAAATTCTGATGCCAGTTGTGATGTTTTGAACTGTTTTCCTGCTAGATGTTTCTGTTCTGCAATGTATGCTAAGATGAAATGTGACATGCTTTGTGAAGTGATTTGTGAACTCTGCTTTATCCCATTTTGTAATAATCTTTTTCAATATTTATTACGCAGCATATGCCTTGGCTTGGGAAGGGTGGTTTTTTATTTTAAAACTATTATTACAACTATTAATTATTCTTTGGGCAAGTATAAATTGTATCTTTTAGGCCACTCAGTTAACTTGTCAAGTCCTTAAATTTACTTTCTTCTTAGGATGATATAAATACAGTTTGGGAATTCAGTTGGCTGTTCTGTGTACATGTATACAAACTGATATGTACATCCTCTGCAATTGAGTTAAGATTGTTCAAGCTTTTACTTTGAACTATCTATCAATGAAGTATCAGGGCCATCCTAAGTGATTTCCAATACCCCTTTTGTAGCACACCATACCATCAAGTGTTTATGAAATAATTTACCAAAACACTGCTACCATGCTTGAAAAAATATGATTGTTTTTCATATCCCTCTGCCTGGAAACCCAGCTGCTTAGGATTCAACTACAGTAGAGGTAGAGGAAGATGATGGTGAGTAGCAGGAAACTGTAAAAATGGCACAGATCCATTACAGTGTGATGTTCATGTTTTTAAAAGGATTTTGAGAGTTCTGGATACAAGATGCTGTAAATGTACAACCACACAGTGAGTGGTAGCACTCACTGAAAATATATTCAATTAAGCCATGTTAAAATTAAACAAAACAAAATTTGGGATAATGCTGAACAGTTGGAGCTGCCATTATATATTTATTGCCCATTTATTGTTACTTCGTCATTTTCTCTCATACAGGTAGCACTAAACAAAAGCAATGCTGAAAATTTTAAGCAAATGAACCAAGTTCACAATAAGGTTTGGAAGAAATCCCTGTGAAATACAACATTTAAAGAACTATTTGAGATCCGGAAATACAAAATATGGAAGAATACACTGTGTTGAAAGTACTTGGAGAGGGGTCGTTTGGGAGAGCTCTTTTAGTCTGTGATAAAACCAGCAGCCAGAAGTATGCAATGAAGGAAATAAGACTTCCCAAGGTAAGGATTCTACTCTACTTCTGTTTCTGTTATCTAAAAGTTATGAAAAACTCACCTTACTCTTCGATGTGGGCAGGGAAAGTCTGTTCTTGAAATAGAAACATTTCAGAATTTAGCACCCACTCTTCAGTGACTCCATTGGGTGTTGAGATGTCTGAGCACTTTCAAATCTAACCCTTAATAAGTACTCTGGGATCTTCCGGGTAATAAGTGAAGACTTCTCATAGTGGTTCATACATTTTCTAATGTATGACACATAGGAGGACATACCAAGTGAAATCCTGGTTCCACTAAAGTCATTGCTAAAGCTCCCATTGGCTTTACTGGTGTCAGGGTTTCAGCCACAGCATTTAATTTAATGTAAAAGGAGCAAGGAGTTGGGTATTCCTGATTTGTTGCTAGAACTTAATGATTTCAGACTGTTTGCTTTCCATTTAGCAAACAGCTCAAAGCACATTTTTGCTGGAGGTCTTGGTTTCACCCAGATGGAAATTAGTTTTATACTGATATGTGATAATCCTTGGACAGAAACGCTGGTGAATTGTCACCTATTCCAAAAATCATGAAGTGATGCATCCAAAGGGCTTAACAAATAGACGTAAGTTTTTTTTCTAGTGAAACTATTATGGGTAGGTTATATATTTTTTTAGCTACTTTTCACATCTTGATTTCACACAAGCATTTGGATTGTTCAGGTTTCTAAATTTTTTTTAAACATGTCAAGAAAATAAAATGAAGTACAGCACTTGAAACATAAATCTGATTCTGAAAATAACATTGTATGTATGAAGATTTATTAGGGCAGGATTTATAAAAACTGAACTTTTTAACAATGTGTTTTTAGTCTCCATCTGATGTCGAGAACTCTAGGAAGGAAGCTATTCTCTTGGCTAAAATGAAACATGCAAATATTGTTGGTTATAAGGAATCATTTGAAGGTAATGTATATGTTTTCAAATAATTATTTGAAGTATTGACATGTGACCTATTACTTAGCTTGTAAACTCTTGGGAACCTGGACTTTGTTTTTATATCTGTAAAATGCATAGCGCATTGTTACTACATAACTTATAAAATATTTAGCATGCTAACTACTAATTAATTTTAAATTTCCTAAAATTTAGCCGACGGACATCTGTATATTGTAATGGAATATTGTGATGATGGTGATCTAATGCAAAAGATTAAACGCCAAAGAGGAAAATTGTTTCCTGAAGATACGGTAAGAAAGAATATAAGTTAAAAGCAGGCATTACTAATTTTTAATGTGAATTTATAATAAGTCACATAGTACATATCTCTTAAAAAGAGATTGACTGATTGCCAGGTAGTCCAAGAGTGTTTTAAATGTGTTCTTCCTTAGTACTCTGTCAAGTATGTGAGGATAACATCTTTCTCTGGTACTGTTGTCCAAAATAAGTGTTTAAATATGGCTTTTGGGAGAATCACCAATCAGTAGTATGGCAAACTCAGTATTGGTGGAAGCAGTAGTGGTAATATAGCGTGACATCAAAGCACATACGCAGAGTAGCTACAGGGGCAACACTATGTTTTTACGTGTATCTGTAGGTGTCTATATGGTTATCTATATAAACTACAATATTTCTAAGGTTATGGTTATACAGAAATAATGCTGGACTGTAATAACACACAGACACACTGTAATTTCTATAGAACCATTCCAAGTCAGAGTGGTACCATTCCAAGGTACAGAATGGTTCTACTGAACTAATACTGGAATTACGTGTGTGTGTGTGTGTATGCATGTGTTTTATTTCAGCATTATCTCTCTCTAATCATTCCGTATAACCATAACCTTTGAATTAGCGCAGTTTATACAAATATACACATACAAGAGTGTGTGTGTGTGTGTGTGTGTGTACAATTCCAGCATTATTTCTGAATAACCATTACTTAATGTAGGGCAATGGCAATAACAACAAAATAAGTTGGCAATAATGAGAATTGCTCTATGCTATTTACCAACAACATACAGACTATAAAAAGAAAAAAATATGGGGAGTGTCATGTTTCTGTTGTTAAGTATCTGAACACATCAGCAAGACTATAAGTTAAAGTTATGAGTTTACATAGCAAATGAATAACAAATGAAGCATTTTGTAATACAAATGGGTACCTCCACAAGGCCAAATGCTTTCGTATCATGAAGTAATAAAATACATTAATGAACTATGAAACCTTTCATATATTCATCATCACTATAATAAAATATATTCCATGCCTCAAAGTAAACCTTTCTATGACTATTAAAATGACCTTACTGTGGCATGAATTTAAAACTCTGTAGTGTCAAGTTAGAGGCATCTTTTTTGTTAAAACTGGACGCCAGAATGTTTGTTTATCTACAGTTGCTAGAATACCAGACTATTCCCCAAAAGTCTATTAAGTATATTTAAAAAGAACATTTATTCTTTTAAAAAGAATGTAATATCTTGTTCCAGTTTAAATATTCCAATTGACTATGAAATCATAATTTATAGTGCACATAATTTATTGAATAGAACAGTGTTCTCCACTGGCTATACACCTCATTTTATGCTAATAATGAGCATCTTACCTGCCACATTAAAAAATCACATATATTAGCAGTTAAATCTTTATGTAGTGTAGTCCGCGGTCACCTTAAATTTATGACTGGTTGACTTGGGAGGCTCTAGACCAGTGGTTCTCAGCCATTTCAGAGTCAGGGCACCCCTCCACAACCTTTTTGAATATGGCAGTATCTCCAGTTGAGAACTATTTTTCTCAGCTTAGCTCAGTGGTTCTCAGTTTTGTGCTACTGCATTGCACCTCTTGTGTACAGCCAGACAGGGCATTGGGGCTCTCTGATAACCCTAAAGCAGGCAGGAAAGCCAGCTTGTGTTTTCCCTTGACTCTGCATGGCATTCCTCAGAAACAGAGGCGAGTAGGAGAGATGAATCTGTCCTGCGCGCCTCTATTTCCAGTAGGAACATTGGAGGAGGTAGACTGGGAAGGGCTGCAGTACAAGCCAGCTCTCCTGCCTGGTTTAAGGTTATCAGAGAATGCTAATACAGGAGGAGCTCACATATGCCCCTTACATAGGGCTGTGGTACATCATGGCACCCTTAAGCGGGGTCAAGCAGCATCCTGAGGTGCCATCACACCCAAGTTGAGAACCACTGCAGTAGATATTGTTAATACAGTATGTTTGTTGTTTGCTGTCTCTCATTTTTTATTCCATCATTAAAGTGTGCATAATACATATCATTTTACTCTTGTAACACTCTTTGCAGATCCTTTGCTGGTTTGTACAGTTGTGCCTGGGGGTGAAATACATTCATGACAAACGTATTCTGCACAGAGATATCAAGTCCAAGGTGACTGGAACATGTTTAATGGCTGTTAATACAACTTACTAACAAGTCCTCTTCTACTTGAAATAGCTTGTTCTCTGCATGTGCTGTGTTTCAGTGCAAAATCTCTAACGTAGCATGAAAACTGTTGGTTCCCATAATTTTTTTTAAAAATAAACTAACTTTGGAGCAGCTGCAGTCTTAATATCTGTCATTTTGTTCCTGTTTCCAAATCCTTGATAAGAAATGTTTTACCTAGTTGTAGACAGTTTAGAATGGTAAGGGAAACCAGATGTTTAGTTCAAAATTCTCTTTAACCAGACAAACGATCTGTGCAGTACAGGTGGGGGGCATTGCTTGGCCTGCGTGGGGCTATCTGGAGTGGGCACAGGCAGCCCTACGCGGGCTGCAAGCAGCTGCAGCACTGGGCCTGGCCAGGGAGGGGCCGCTCCCCCCCCCAACTCCTTCCCTGCCTGGGGTGTTCCCTACTTACCTGAGCTTCCGGCAGGGGGCAGCCACGTGCTCCCAGCCCAGAAACCCTGACTGGGACTTCCGGCTGGGGGGCAGGGCCAGGCAGGCCAACTGTTGTGGGAGCCCGCTGGGCTTCCCCTGGGTCCTATTGCCTCTGGTTCCTGTCATTTTTTACAGGAACCAAGGGTAGAGAAATATTAATTTTCTACATTTTTTTAGGGGCCCCACAGGCCGGATAGAATGGCCTCACAGGCCGCATCTGGCCTGCGGGCCGTATGTTGCCCACCCCTGTACTAGGGAATCTCTGGCTTCAGGAGAGTGACTTATCCTTTCAGTTTCCTCTCTAAACTAAGCTTAGCCTCTAATAGTGCTTCTAAAATACTAGTTACTATGTTATCTATATAGCATAAATGCAGAAACATTTGTTAGATATTTTTAAAGTAAATAAACTGTTCCTTTTTTGCAATATAGAATATCTTTCTTACTCAAAATGGCAAAGTAAAATTGGGAGATTTTGGATCTGCACGTCTTCTTAAAAAGTATGTGGACATTTCCCCTGGATTCAGGGAACTAAATTATATTTTTTCACTGTTGCTTAATTACTACAGAGAACCTATTTTTTCTGTATCTTTCTTTTTTATTTGGCAAGCGCAACAGCATATGCCTGTACTTATGTGGGAACTCCTTATTACGTGCCTCCAGAAATATGGGAGAACATGCCGTACAACAACAAAAGGTATGCACGTAATTACTTATGAAAATAACTAAAATGATGAAAATGAGGCGCATTATTTAATATTTGTGCTATATAGGGGTGAACCAGCAAAGATTTTTTGGGCTGATGCTGATGGCTGATTATTAACGAGCCATAATGGCTGATACCAGTCTGATTGCTGATATGCAGCCCAGCAACTTAGAGAGCAGTGTCTGGCTGGTAAGTCTGTTGGGGGGAAGGGGTGTGTGGGGGGTGCATATTGAGGCCCCTGCGGTAGGGTTGCCAACTCTCTTTGAATTTATTCCAGGAGGTTTCATCATATGATACAATGACATTAATGACTTTACATCAGGAAGGCAAATGCACATTATGATTACATTTAAAAAACCCACTGGACTACTATATAAATCAGATTCAACATGTAATATTTATTTTAATGAATGCCCTATCACTTATCTCCTGGGGATTTATATCTAATTCCTAGAGACTCCAGGGCAATCCTGGAGGGTTGGCAACCCTACCCTGTGGGGCAGAAGGGAGTGGGGCTGAGGCTGGGGCAGGGGGAGGTGCTGCTTAGCTGGGGCAGGGTGCAAGATGGAGCCCTGAGCAGTTCGTTTAGTGGGGCATGGAGTGAGATGGGGGGCGGAGGGTGTCTCCTGCTGCTGCATACACCCACTGAGGGAGACATGGGGGACGTGTGCCTCCCGATTTTTGTGCATGGGGCTAGGGTGGACTGCTGCTGTGTGCTGGGGCCGGGGGCAGCGCTGGGCTCTTCCCAGTGAGGTGGAGCTGGGCTGGGGCTGCACTCGAGGTGGGCAGCAGCGGCTGTGGGGTGGGCTACAGCCACCCCAGAATGTGCCATAGTCCCCCCCCCAAACTCCTTCCAGCACTGCTGCTGCCTGCCCCAAGCGCAGCCCCAGCCTGGCCCCGCCCCTGGCTCTGCCCCTGCCTCACACAGATTAGGGGGCACATGTCCTCCGTGCCTCTCCCAGGAGGTGTATACAGCAGTGGGAGCCCCGCCTTCCCCCTTCACTTGGCTCCATTCCACACTCTGCCCTGCTCCAGCTGGGCAACACCTGCACCTACCCAAGACCCCCAGCTCCACTCAATTGCTCACCCCGGGGGTCCTCTATGCCCTGCCCCCCCCCCCCACATGCCCGTTCCCCATAACAGACTTACCAACTGGAAGCTGCTCTCCATGCTGCTGAGGCTGTGCCCATGCACGCAGCATTTATTGGTCACGTTATCAACCACATCAGACAAAAGAAAGCTGATTGCCAATATTGTCAGTTTTCCTTTTATCAGTGACAATACAATGTGGACTAATGTACTGGTGCACCTCTAGTGCTATAGGTTGGTTGGATGGCTGATTTTGGAAGGGTTGATCTTAGTTTTTAAATGAAAAGGCCTAGGTTGTGTGTTTGTTCAGTAATCTAAAGTGTATTTTTGCCAGTTCTGAAAGATCAAAAATCATGAGTCAGGTCTCAAAATCATGAGGTTTTTTTGTCTTTTCCCAATTGTAAACTCTCTTTTTTTTTTTCTAACCTCCCCCTAGCTTAGCCTCATTGGGTGTGTATACATGTACTAAGTCAACTTAAAATACAGTGACTTAACTTAAGCCATGAGCCCCAAGCACTCCTGCCTGCTGCTGCTGCTGCCACAGGGGGGCTGTTCACCATTGTGGGGGAGTGTGTGGGGGTTGCCACACACCCCCACCCTCCCTCACATCCCCTCCACACCCCCCACACCCTGCCATACACATACTCTCACCCTCAACTGCACCCCGCACACAATATACCAGAGAGAGACTTTTTTTTTTTGAGTTATTATGCAGTCCCCTCTATATAAAATACACAAACACAAATCACGACAAATATTTTTTGTAATAAAATTAAAATATGTTAGAGTACGTGTTTGACTTTTAGTGTGTGATGTTTGTTTGGTTTTATGGTTCCAAGATGGCAACCCCCCCCGCCCCCCCCGCCCGAAAGTATTTCCAGGGGGTCAAGGGGAGGGACTTCTGGTGACAAAGGTCAGGGGTTAGGGAGCAGGACTTCTGGTCCCAGTATGGCGACCAAGGGGCAGGACAACTGTCCAGTGGCGGGGCTACCCATGCAGCCCTCAACAGCTCACCAAAACTTAAGTGGTCCTCCAGCCGAAATAATTGCCCACCCTTGTGCTTGAGTTTCCTAAGTTGTCTTCCAGACTAGGGTCAGATAAGATAAGTAGAACCTACCTAAATTGCAGCAGGAGTGCGTGGTAGCAGCTCCCTTAATCTTTATCTTCTCGCCATGTACCACATGCGCGCGTACACACACACGATTGGCAGAGGGGCCCCAGAGGCCTTACCACTGGCTGATTGGCCTCAAGGGCAAAACCATGGTTTTACATATGCTGCGATTTTTGCCTCTGGGCTGATCAGCAATGAGCAGCAGGGCTGCTGGGGCGCCTCAGCCAGTCAGCGGCAGGAGGCAAAAACCGTGACGTGCTTAAAAACTGCGGTTTTTGCCTTCTGGGCAGTCGGCAGCAAACAGCGAGGTGACCAGGGCCCCTCAACCAATCAGCAGCAGCAGGGGAGGCGCACGTGACAAAAAGAGCAAGAACAAAGGGGCTGCTGTGCAGTGCACTTCCGTTACAATTTAGGTAGGTCCCTAAAGATAAGCAAGAGTCTTTAGTTTCCTCACCGAAGAAGCTGAATATGTAGCGTAATATCATATAGTCTAATTCTTTGTCCATTTTTATCTTACATTTATTTATTTCCTTCATATTGCTGAACACATGCATAATTAATTGAACTGGAATTTTTTAAATGTTTCTTGTTTTGACGTGTTTGTGTATTTTTGCAGTGATATCTGGTCCCTGGGATGTGTTCTATATGAGCTTTGTACTCTTAAACATCCAGTAAGTGGGGGTTTTTCCCCTGTTAAGCTTTTCTAATTTTGTTGTGTTTGTATTAACTTCCAAGTACTGAATTCTCCATAACTTCCTAATGGAGTAGGAACTATCCTTTTTCCAATTAAAATTAAATGCAAGCTGCAGAAAGGCCACTGGGGGCTTGGGTCATTTCAGTGCTGTCCTCTTCCTGACCACACACATTGTCCCCATTCTGCCCCACATCTTGCTTTTTCTGTGCAGTTTTGGAATTTATCTACACAGTCAGATGGATTGCAGATTGGCTGAAGGGTCGCACTCAGAGGGTGGTGGTGGATGGGTCATACTTGACCTGGGGGGAGGTGGGTAGCAGAGTCCCCCAGGGCTCGGTCCTGGGGCCTGCGCTGTTCAATTTCTTCATCAG